GGTGAGACGACGGCGAGGACCCCGACGCCCGTGACGAGGAGCCCGAGGAACTTTCGACCGCCTCGCTGCATCCCTGAAGGCCAGCCGGGAAGCAGCGTCTGCAGAAGGCCGCCCCCGGCGGGGGGGCTGACAGCCTGAAGAACTGGCGTCCCCCATAGGGCCAGCCGCAGCCCAGGGCACGCCATGCCGCCCGGTCGGAGTTAAGCTCCGCCGGGTCCGGCTTATGCACCCGCCGCGTCCGGGCGAGATAAATATAATGGTCGGGTCCCTGGTCCTGTTCTTGGACCGCCCTGTCCGGGCGGACGGCCGGGACAAACTCGACTCGGGGGAGTCCGGCCGCAGCCGGTACACGCGGCGGGTCCGGCCCCTGTTCCTGTGCTGGTTCCGGGGCAGCCAACTCTGCCCCTTCCCCCGCGCACGACTGACCCGGGTCAGCCGCCGGCGCGTCTGCCAGGGCGAGCGGGACGGCCAACTGCGCCCCGCCTCCCAGGTGGCCTGGCCCTGCTGTCCCAGCCAGGGCGGCCTCGGGCGCCGACGGGGCAAGAGCCAACGGCGCCGACTGGGTGTATCTCTCGATGGCCCTGGACGACCATCTGCCGAGCAGCTGTATGACTGCCATCGGGATGCCCCTGGAAGCCAGGAACGTCGCCCCGGCGACTCGGCAGGCGTGTCCCCCGAACGTCTGCCGCTCCACCCCAGCCGAGTCGCGGTAGACCGTCTCCAGACCCGCGGCCGCCAGGACGCCCCGAAGGAACGTCAGCGATTCGTCCTTGGACCGGGTGGCTCCCCCCCCTCCGGGGAACAGCGGCCCGGACGAGGCGAGGAGGCCGGCTGCCCCCAGACGGGTCATGTGCCTCATCGCCGCGTGCACCGGGCACAACGGGTGTCTCGTGGCGCCGCAGGCGCACCTCAAGGACCTGCGTGTGAGCGTCCTTTCGCCCCCCGTGGCGGTCTTGTGCAGCGGCAGATCGAGGACGACGAGGCTGTGCGAAACGACCATGTCGCCGACCCTGGCGGCCGCCACCTCGATCTCGCGGAGCATGAACCAGACGGCCACGACGAAAACATCGGTGGAGTGCGCCGCCCTGTTCGGGTCGAAGGCGGCCCTATCGGCGTAGTCGACCAGCGGTGCCAAGGCCGGGAGCGGGAACGCCTCCTTGAGGCGAGACCCCGGCAGCCCCCGGACGATAGCCTTGATGACCCGATTGGCGAAGCGGCGAAGTAGAGGGTCGACCTCGATGCGGAGGTCGTGTTCCTGGTACCGGAAGGCCGCCAGGAAATACTCCTTGGCGCTGCGGTACGCCCCGGCCCGGAAGGCCGCCCCAATCACCTCCAGCGTTCGGGTTGTGATGGGCCAGGCGGGCACCTTCCCCTCAAAGGCCAGTCGATTCCACGTGCGCAGCCGGGACTCGTAAGGCCCCCTGGCAGACCTGGCGAGCATGTTGTCGCGGAGCTCCGTGACGGCCCGCTTGACGTTGGCCGGGCGGACCGCCTCCACGGCGGCGGTCAGGGACGCTCGCGTCGCCTCCCGTCGAACGGGCAGGTCCGGTCGAGAAGGCCCAGCCTCGACCAGCGCCAGGGTCGAGTTCTCCCCGGCGAGCGGCGGTGCCGCCAGCATGGCCTCCAGAGCCAGCGGAGAGACCCCTGCCGCTACCCACGGTCGGCACGGGCGGTGAGGTCGGCGATGTTGCGGGCCCCGGCCTGGGCGAGCAGCGGTAGCGCCTCGGACTGGCCGGTCCTCTCGGCCAGCGCGACAAGCTCCGCAAAAGAGCCCCGGGGAGGGCCCATGGTGGCGACACTTGAGCCTCTGAGCCGGAAGCCGACGGGCTTGAGCCTTCGAGCCGCCGAACCCTTAAGGAAGCGGGTGAGGCAGGAGAGGGGACGGGCGGGGCGGGGCGAGGCCAAAGTCACACGCACTCACTCTTTTTTTTTGGCGGCCCAGACGAATCAATATACAGCTCACAAAATGAGGGACCGGGCGCGAGCCCGACCCTGGCGGCAAGCTTAAAAAGACCAGGCGAGGATGTAGTAGGCGGCCCAGGCGTCGAAGAGGCGGTCCCCGCCCTAGCTGAAGCGCTGCGCCGGCGTGGGCGGTGCGCAGCGCTGGCATTCGTGATGCTCGTGAGGGCGGCCCAGCATCGGCGGGTAATTCACCGGCCGCAAGCACCTGGCGCGGTCGGGGCAAGGCTGTCCCCGACGATGATTGCCAGGGCATTTCACGAAGCACCAGCCGATCCACTGCGTGAAGTCGGCGGGGCGCTCCCTGGGCAGGCGGCCGCCCCTGACGTCAGCCGGCAAAGACCTGAGGATCACGCCCGCCGAGACGCTCTGCGGCGGGGTGGCTGCCCCAGACGCGATGGCGTCCTCGAGTCGCTCCCCCTCCGCCCAGGTGTCGGCCGTCCACCCCTGAACGGCGTACGGGATCTCCTTGCGGCGGAGGTCCGCCCCCGGCTCGTGGAGCGGGAACCGGAAGGTGTCCCAGGCGCTCAGCCCCGGCGGTCGGCGGCTCTGATTCCGCGTGCCATAGCCCGCCCGGCCGACCCGATCAACCGGCGGGAAGGGCGATGTCGGTGGCGGAGGAACCCCAGCACATGAGGTCGCAGGGCCCGCCGCCGAATCAGTACCCGCGGAAGATGCCGAAGGCGCCGCTGCAGCCATAGTCGACGGTGTAGGCGCCGAGGGCGGTGTCGAGGATGCCGCTGAGGACGGGGGCTGCTGCACCACAGCCGGCGTGGTGACCTCAGGCGGGGGGCGAGTAGGGGCCGCCCGTGCGGGAGGAGCCGTCGTCACTTCAGGCGCTAGCTGCGGGCCGCCCAGCTGGGCGCCAAAGGGTTGGCCGACCTCTGTGCCCACCAAGTGCGGCGGTGGCCCCTTGGGCTTGGCCCGGGCCAAAGCCGCGTCATCAGCCGCCTGGCGCTGCTCCGCCAACTCCCTGGCGATGCTGCTCTCAATGGCGTCCTGGTAGGTGGCGCCGTCGTGCAGCAAGCGCAAGCCCGCCCGACTGCGGGCCATCTGTTCCTGGCGGATGAAAGCCTGCCTGCGGAGGTAGTCGTCGGAAGGGGCCGGAGCTCCTCCAACCACCTCAGGCGCATCAGCCGCCGCCCCACCGGACGAGGACGAAGCCGGCGGTCCACCAGACGTCGTGTCCTGCTTGGGAACCGGCGGGCTCCGAGTCACCGCCGGAGGGCCCGCAGGCTTCTGCCCGGCAACCTGGCCCAGATCGGCGCCCCGCGGCTGGACGATCGCCCCGGCAAGCGGCCTCTTCACCGTGGGCTTGGGCTTGGTCGGCGTGTCGTCCAGGAACCTGATCGGCTTGTCGGGGTAGGGCATGGGCGGTGCCTTCGTCGACTGTGGGGCCTTGGGCTCGTCGACAACCAGCGCCGGAGGCGGCGCCTTCTTGAAAGGCTTCTTGGGCCCAGGCCCGGACGCCGACGATGAAGACGCCCCAGAGGCGGGGGGACCAGACGATGTCTTCGCCTTGGCGGCCGCGTCCTGTTCGGCGAGGAAGACCTCCAACGACGTCGGCGGCCCGGCGTCAATGTCATCGTCCGGAACAGGCTTGGCTGCCGCCATCTCCGCCACGGCTGTGGCGTCCTGTTCCTCCCAAAAGGTCCGGGCGGTCGCCGGCGATGGGCCAGGATCCACAACGCCCGTTGGCGCCTGCGGCAACCCAGGCGTGAGGTCGAGGAGGTCCAGCGGGGGCACCGACGAAGAGGAGGGGTCGCCCGCCCCTCCAGCCGGCGCCACGTCAACCAGGGGCTGTTCCTCGGCCAGCCTAAGCGCCCCGACGAGGCGATCACGGTCGTCGCGCGACAGGGCGCGAATAGCAGTCGCCAGCGCCTCCTGAGAGGTGTCGCCCACGAAGGACGAGAACATCACCTCGTTGGCGGTTTGAACGGCGACATCGCGAGCGTCAAAGGCGAGGATCGGCGCGACGTGCTCCGTCTGGGCCTCGCCGTCGACGAGGTCGACGCCAAAGAAAGGAGCCCCGGCGCGATCAGCCAGGAGCTCTTCCTCCTCGCCGCTGGAAGGCGGCACACCCATCACGGGCGGGGCAATGTCGTCGTCGCCCGCCACTGACTCGACCAAAGCCGGCTCGCCCGACATGGGCGGCGCGGCGAAAACCTCCTCCAAGGCACCACCAGGCGAAGGCGTGCCGCCACCGAAGGCTCGCCCGAAGCGGACGGCCCGGCGTTGCTCCCAACGCCCGTGGTGGGCGCGTCGTCCAAAGAGGATGCCGTAGGGACCGATGGCGAAGTAGCGGGGCCCACCAGGTCGATGCCCGCCATGGCCGCAAAGGCGGCGAAGGCCTCGGCGGCATCGGCACCCGACGAAGGACGAGAAGAGGCCATTTTCCACGGCGAGGCGAAGGGAGCAGGAGGAGAAAGTCGAAATTGGTCGAGCCAAGGATGCTACGGGGCTCGACCGCTAGAGCTTGTACCTACACACACAAGTGTGTTACACGGCAAACAAGGATAGAGCCCTGGTGGTTGTTGGCGGCTTGGGTGTGGCTTGCTGTGAAGGTGGGCCGGCTCAGGCTTGGTGGAGCTGGAGGCGATGAATAGTTGGGACTGCGGTGGTGTTAACATGAAGCTGCAGTGAAGCTTGTACGAGCTTGTTCGGTGGCGCCGTGTGCGATTTGTTGAAAGCTGTGGCAACGGGGGGCCTGAAAAGTACGTCAAAAAGATCGACCATAATCTGTCTTCTTCACGAAGGTCTCAGAGGGAGTTGAGCATTCTGTCGGGGCGGTGAGGTGAGTATGGTGTCAATCTGTTGAGTGGGGGCATAAGATCACGTTGAACATGGCGGGATGTCTGTGGTGCACATGGAGTAAGAGTGGTGATCGGACGTAATGGGTGTGAATAGGACCCAAATGAATTTGGGTCTGACTTACTTTGTCGGGTTGTCTTGATTGCTTGGGCCTTTTCGAAAAAGTTGCGACCATCGGCCATGATTGGCAGTGTGCCGAAGAGGGTGCCGGATTGTTAGGAGGGATTTGATCACGAAAATACTTGCACTGGCGCCTACGTGTTTTCTTAGCTTGCCAACCGGCAGATTACACTGATTACACCATGAGGTACCGTTACCATTCCTTGACACAATTTCTTGATTTGTATGATTGTCATGGAAAATCTCAGCTTTGTTGATGACAGGTTGATCATATCAGCATCAGCACCCCTTAAAACTGAAGGAGCGGCGAGGGAGAGCGCGAGCTTTTTCCCTGGCCTCGATGTGTTTGCTGCTGATGTCCACCTGGACTTAGTGCTCTGACGCAACATAGAGGACATGAAGAAAGTGCTTGCCACCAGTGCAATCCCAGCTGCACCCTGCTCTCCATAAGCGGACTGGATTTCCGCCAAGAGCTCCTGTTCGAACCTGTCGATGTCTGGCTTGTGTGCTTCGGTATGAACCGACACCTCTGACGGCCTTCGGCGAGCTGCATATGCGGCGTCTAAGCTGCTACGTTGGGCTGCCTCCTGTCCGCCGGCAACGCATAGCAGCATGGTAGGGCAGTGCATCAGAAAGTCACGTGGCACCCAAGCAACAGGTGATCCCCTTCATCGCTACCTCTTCGAAGATCCTGTCCAACCGCGCTTGCAGTTGCCCATTCGCAGCCTGACAAGCCAGAAGGGGCTCTGCGACTGTTGCATTATCTGGACTATGCGGCCCAGCCTCGAAGAGCCTGTCGATACGAGGAAGGCCTTGAACAATGTCTGAAGTCCGAGGCACAGCCAGGGGCTCCGTTGCCAAGCAGTCTCCCATTTGGACAACGTTTCCATCACGTACCTGAGCCATCCTAGCTAGTCCAGGCTGCTCTGCCAGGGGCAATCAGGACAACCTTTTGATTCAGCAGCGATACAAGGACGGAGCCCTTGTTGGTGACGAGGTAAGAGCTGGCCCTGCGCAAGAAGACGAGGGCAACGGCACCTCCATCCTGGACGAAGGCAGCACTTCCGAAACCCGAAGCTTTGCAACAATCGCTACTTTACTTCCTCACAAGGTCTTCCCGGTTCCCGCCAAGCGACGCTCGCGGTTTGCACAGAAACGACCTTGAAAGGCAGGGCCGAAGCTCCCTGGGACCCTCTGTTGGTCCATTGACAGGGAAAGGTTCCACGGGGCTAGGTATCCCCCCCCTTCTGTCGTTGTGTTTTAGGGTCCGGGCTCCTCCAGTTATGCAAACAGTAGGGGCCTAGCGGAAGCTTTGATCACCGCCCCCCAGTCATTAGGCAGCTGGGGTGAAAATTCAAGAGGCGGGCTGGGCGAATCCAGCCGTCAGGCAACCAGGCAAGACGAAAAAGACCCTTCAACTGCCTCAACCTTTACATGAAGCCAAGGCACCTGGCCTGCTGCAGGAGACACGTCCTTCGAGCTTAGCCGATCGTGCTGCCGAACCAAATCTCCCAAGCGGACTGACGGCTGTGCGTGGCCTGCACGGCACAAGCCGGCACGAGTTTTGGTCTGGGTTCGTGCTTCGTGTCTTTTGACCTGCTTCGTTCAGACGAGCAGCATGGAACTCTCAGCAAGTCCTGGTCGTTGAGGACCACAGCTGTAAGCCTCGACAAGACCGAACCCCGGCAATGCCACGAAGTGCTGGTCATGTTCACGCGACCTCCGAGTTCCTTCCTTCGCTCTGCAAACGATTCCTAAGTGGGAGCAACTCAAGGGCCTGCCGCCAAAACATTGTGAAATATGTAAAACAAGTGAAGGTCGAGAGGTCACACAGGTCACAGGGGTCGCTACTCTGCCAACGACATGAATGGACCTGTTTACTAGGTCTACACCTTCATCTCTGCATGCTGCACCAAGCTCCGCTGGCTTTCGATGGCAAGGTCCGACGTGCGATGAGATGTTCCGACTCATCGCAAGAGATATATCCTTAGTGTCAGGAGCTTCTGAACGCTGACTTGTGGATGGCATCAAGTAAACAATAGCCATATAAAGATCAGTTTCTTGGCATGGCTTCTTGCCAAGAACTGTTGGCCACGGCAGCTCTTGGTGTCCCCAGAGGAGAATGTTGCACGACGCAGAGACTGCTTGGACCCCATTCCTCGCATGGACTGAACTCACACCCAGAGAAGTCAGAGGACTTCTGCAAGCTGGTGGCGCTGGCAACATCCAGTGACGTTCCGTTCAAGAAGGCCCTTGGAGGGACACTGGTCCCGTCCTGAGCAGTCACCGCGAGGGCAGCCAACCCAACCTCTTGCCTTGACCTCTGCCAAGGTGCGGCAGGCCGTGTTGGGACAATGCTTGTGCAATGCCTGATTTTGTGTATGCACGGAGAAACTGCCTGAACGTGCAGTTGCCAATTGCAAATGCGGCGCGTGTCTCGGTAATGCCTGCCGACACTTGCAGAGACCTCGTGAGCCAACACCAATGGTCCGGCGGACTCCACAACACCTCGCCACAGGGAGGGGGGCATTCTGATAAAGTTATGTTATGGTCCGCGAACAAAGGTCGAAATGCAGCACGTTACAAATACTAACCTAAAGCTTGCAGTCCCGCACAAGCAATGTCAAACTGGTTTTCGGGTTTCTTGCAGTAGCTGCATGCAAGGTGATGCTCTTGCCTGTCCTGCAGAACAGGTTTCCCGAGCCAAAGCCCTTTGCCAAAGCCCTTTTCCAGAGCCCTTTGCCTCCGTGCATCCCCCGATGGTCCGTGCTTCGAATCGTCAGATGTGAAATCTTCGGATAGTTTCGGGCGACGTTGCTACGAGATTTGTTCGCAAACAACGTCCCAAATTGCAAGAAGCTAGCCTCCCACAGGAATTCAACCGTTTCCTGCTTGGCTTCTCTGGGTCGGCTGAGCCGACTTGGTACCAACCGCCTGTTTGCCGACAGGCAGCCATTGCCCCGAAGAGGGGTCCAGAACGTCATAGTGTGGGACTCAGACGGTACCGGGCAACGAGCCGGTGGCAGCTTGACCGATTTTGTACGGCCTCGGCAAGGCAAGTCTGCAAACTTCCATGTGTTCCAACCGCCCTGCGTCACTCTTGGCACGTCCCGGATGCTCTTGGGAAGCGGCGTAGCAAAACTCGCACCGAATCAGCAGCACGCGGATCATCCAGAATTTCCGCCTCAGTGAGTGATAGGCCGCGGTCCAGAGTCGACCACTTCGCGAACATCCTCACCCTGCAAATCATAAATTTGTGGGCCGTCCTGCCCCTTAATTGAGCTTGTGCGGGCACTCCAAGTCTGAGGGGATTATCTGGAATTGGGCACTGCAGCAGGATTCTCTGGAGTTGCAGGCATTCGCAGGGAGGGTAGTGTCTGCCGTCGGGAATTCTCAGGCGATTCTCCGGGGTCGGGCAACTCCGGGCATTCTCTGAGGTGAGGCACTGCACAATCCAAGGTGATTCTCGAAATTGGGCACTCCAGCGATTCTTTGGGGCTGAGTGCCAGGAGACCGGGCGAGGAGACCGGAGAACAGCTTAGCTTGAAGTCTAACAACGCCACACCCAGGGTGGGCAAGAAAACTCTCTACTGCGGACCGGTTGCTATCATCCAGTCCGAACCAATCTTGGTCGTGGGCAGCTCCGGTATGACTGCATGATTCGGGGGTACGGCCCTCGAGTGTAGGTACACCTGTGCAGGTAGCACGAACCATGTGCCACAGCAATGCTGCTATCACTGTATGAATCGGGTTGCCCAAATTGTTGCCAGGATGCTCCGTCATCCTCTGCAGCATCCCACCAAAACCCTTCTGCAAAGTACTTGCTGGGAGCCAAGAAGACTTCGCCCGGCTTGATGGCACCTACGGGAAATCTGGAAGGAATGCACGGGCACAGGCAGTCGGAGGGACCTTGCTTCCTCTAGCTGGGTCTCCAACACTCCCAAGAGGCATCTGCATCAATATCCAGACTCGAAATATCTATGGAGTAGTACACCTTCGGAGAACACCGAGAAGGACCTACAGAAAGCCTATGGCCGACGACCCTGAGTGCCACACCCGATCTTTGCAGCGGTGAACCTTCCAGTGGTGCTGCTGAATTGACGACCGTATCACTCCACAATGAGCTGCAGCTACTTGCAACAAAGACTCGAAAACATCACTTTGGCTTTCATGTTCATCTGGTTGTACAATAGTTGTCCGAGCTGTGCGTTTGAAGAGGAGCGGCCTGTCAAGTAGCCTACTCTCACTGAACTGCACTGAACAGCATGGCACACAGTCTATGGAGTGTTGCTACACCCGGAAACCTGAAAGTGAACAGCCTTCTCGAAGCTACTACCCTTAAGTGTTTGATTCACTGACCATGCCAAGACAAAGCCGCAAAAACCATCGGCTTGGAGCTTCAGTCTCGCTCTCTTTCTTGCACGACGGCAGATCGTGGGAGGCACCTCGCACAGAGGGCGGCCTGTGTGAAAATGATTGAACAGGAAGTTGCCTGATGAAATGAGATGTGTGCACTTGGTGCTCGTGCATACGTGCGTGTGCTCGCGATCGTGCACGTGTTGCTTCACGGCATTACCGCATGTTTTGGCTGTAGCTCTGACACTGCGATTCTTTCCCGGCCTCCCAAGCTTGACCTGCCCTTTGTCCTCGCTGGCCTTGGAGTGAGCGAGTGAGAATAAGAGTGAGAGACAAAGAGCGGGAGTGAAAGCGAGAGGACAGAATACGAGACAAGCTCCAATGTCGTCACAGCTGCCTGTCGTTTCTTTTCGTTGAGGAGTGGGATGCTCTCTTCAGGTGCCCATAGAATCGTCTTCTTGCCTGGCTGGCGGTGCGGATGGCAACAAAGGGCAGCCAAGCAGCTTAAAGTCCCAAAGCCAAAGCAGGCCGCCTTCCCAGATCACGTGAAGGACGAGGCCACCGCTCGGTACCACGCAGTCATCTGTGAGGTTTCGGCTCGTTGGGAAGATGGAAGCACCTGAGAGGAAAACACGAAAAAGGAAGGAACTTTTTCGCATCACGACGGCATCGCTCGGATCGTGGCACCTGCTTCAAGGGATGGAGGGCTGCATAGTATGCGCAGCTTTGGCGCTGCATCATCCGTCCAAACCTGCGCCAAGGAGGCTTCGTTTCAACAAATCCTTTGAAGTTTGAGTCTGGCTATAAATTTTGTCGTTCACCCTTCCTTGCTTCAAATCATTTTGTGAACCGCAGCCTGCGTAAAGACGCTCGAAGATGTGGGAGCTGCGGGTTTCGCACTGCGGATGTCATCTGCCTTGTCCAAGGCTCGCGAGACTGCCTCAGGGTTGCCGAATTGAGAGGCGAACATACGAAACGCCCCTGGGCCCCAGGGGCCGCCTGTCTCAGATAGGGCCTCACTGACGGGAGATTCCGAGGCTCCTCGGTCTAAGGCTTCCAAAACAAGCAAAGCCAACAAAATCAAGAAATCTGCAGGTCCTCTAACAAAGATGGAGGTATCTCAACGTCTTTGTGGTACTCAGTAGTCCGGTCTGCCGCAAGCTCAAAGAAGTCGAAGTCTGTGCGCAAAGATACGGCATCCTGCAGCCATCTCCCAGGGAGCTTGCACTCGCTCTCCGTCTTTCGCTCGCCGGGCCAAGTGCAAAAAACCGTGCAGAGGCGCTCGCTCGCTCGCTCTTCTGCCACACAGCCAAAGGAGATGGTCCCCCGCACCCCTCGCGCGCATGCACGCACTGGGTGTCCGGTCTCGCATTGCTACTGCTCGATAAGGCACTGGTCGCTCACCGGCAAAACCCCTGCTACAATAGAACTCTCTTCTTCCCCAGGCCATGAGGGGTCTGATAGATCGATCTCTCTCTCTCTCTCTCTCCCTGGCTCTGGCATTCGGGCGTTTAAAGGGGTTCAGTTCCGTGGAAAATGAACACTAACGAAGTGGACGGCAAACAGATGGCGAAAGCCCCCTCTATCTCTCTACCGCTCTCTTGCTGTCTTCGCGGGGAATCCCCAGCCTCGTGTTGAGGAGCGATCTAGCGGAACGGCTGCACTGCAATCAGACAGAGTTTTGCTTGCATGCTTGCCTGCCTGTTGCTCGTACCACCTCTTCTTGACCACGGTCTTTTGATTTGTTCCCGAACACGTTGGCTGCCCGACCCAGCTTCCAGGGTTTTCGCCCCCTGTAATGTCTTCCTCCTGGAACTCTTCTTAACTTTCTGTGTGAGAGGAAGTTCTCAGCGCCTGGGTGGCTGTACCGTCAGCTGAAGTCCTTTTAGTTGAGGTCCCAGCAGGGAACTCTCCGGGTTCGGCTGCTTCAGGCGGTGCAAAAGGAGGAGCCTCCTAGTCACTGGTCGCCTGTCGCTCTTCAACCTGGTGTATCGGCAGGTGGTCTCGCCAGGGGCGGGCCCCGGCAAGGAGGGCGCACAGGCCGGCAGGAACCGTGTTGACACGTGGTCGCTGAAAAGAGGTGGCTAACGTCGTTTGCAAACAAAGCCAAAATCTGGGGATATCTGAAGTCCGGCGGCATGAGAAAATGCACAAACAAGGAGACACTTCAGTCATACAATCAGCTGCAGTCGAAGGACCGTGTCATTGGAACGAAAACCCGCGATTTCATAGAAGGATTAGGCATCTCTCTCTCTCTCTCTCTCCCTCTCTCTTTCTCTGCCTCTCCGTCTCATTTCACTTCACTTCACTTCGGGGCTCTTTGCTTTGCTTGGGGTCAGAGCCAGGAGCAGTCCTCCCGACTCGGGCTCAAGGCGCATCCCCGTCCACCCTATTGGCAGAGAGGGCTCGTCTGTACCGGGTGGTTACGAGGACCGAACGTCGTGAAAGGAGTGGAGTCTCTCTGTCTCTCCCTGTCTCCCCCAGGTTCAGGCTGCCTTGTCAGCAGATCGCGGTGGCTCCTGCACAACTTCAGCCAATTGCAGAAATTCCCTGCACGTCTAAGCAGTTCCATGTTGCTTCAGAAATGAATCTTTAGCAATTATAATCAGGACAGATCGGATGCCTGAAAGCGTGGAACGCCTGCACATTTGGTTGCCGCCCATTCTTGCGCAAGAGGTTGCCCAGGTTCAACAGCATCACCCTCTTTCACCTGGCAGTGACTACTATGGAACCAGCCAATGCCGATGTTCGCTTGCGTCATTGAGTCGCATGCCGGGGCACTGCTAAAGTTGAACCTTCGTGCTCAAAGTCCACGGCAGAGCCTTGCAGCACCCAAACCTCAGACAAGCTCGGACGAGAACTTGTTAGTGGAGGCACCACCAGCTCATTGGGTCTCGCGTCCCAGTCACCAGCTTCCCCCCTTCGTCGATGCAGCTGCCAAGAGTATCCGCAGGTTGCACCAGAATCTCTCCGTCCTGGTCGGAATTAATGGGCTTGTCCAAAGTCTCGATGTCATCCTCATCTGTGCCTCTGCAGAAGACAAGCTTAAGCGGAGCCACGATGAAAACAACTGCGGAATCCACCGAAGCTGAAATCAGCAGCGCAGCTGGGTGAGGATTTGACAGGCTTCTGGTACAGAACTTGTCCAAAACTCACTGAAGCGCCTCGGCACAGGGAGGCATTGAATGAGCACCAGAAAGGTCATGAATGTATCCGCAGATGCTCGAGCAGAATTTTGAAAAGGGCACCGTCGAGAACTTTGACATACGTGCCAGCTTCCAGATTCTCCGTCTGCAAGACGTGGCTGCCGTCGGTGATCTGCAAAGTTGCAGCCTCTCAGAGAAGCAGTTGGTCCATTCTGCAGGCTTTGACCGGCACAAGACAACTCATTGAGCCTTCGCCAACACACAGCCAACCTCACCTTGAGGAGACCGTCTCCACTCGCTGACAGATCTGACCTTGGCCATAGGCTGCAGGCTGTGGACTTATCAAGAGTCTCGAAACACTTCGAGTGAAGCATCACGGAAACATACGGAAACTCTCCGATGAGATAGGGTGCCTTGCGCGAGACATCGTCTTTTGAGATCTCGCCGTCGGAGCTCTGCAATCGAACGTGTCCAGCATGCTTTGCAACGACACCTTCACCAGCCGAGCCTGCAAGGGCGTAAGACCGCAAGAAGCAAGCAGCAGCTACCAGTACGTGTTCTCCCTGCTGGCCTTCAAACGCTCCTCCGGTGTGGAATGTTCGCATTGTGAGCTGAGTGCCAGGTTCGCCCATGCTTTGCGCTGCGATCGTGCCAGATGGATGCCCGACACCAACCAACTCCCCTGGAGTTGAAAGGTCTTCACCGTAGCACTTCGCGCAAATCCCGTCATGAAGACGGCACCCCAGTGGTGAACGGACATGGACGGGCGGCACTTCAACTGTTTCAGCCAGTGACTTCCACAGCGTCTCAATGTCTCCAGCCTCGTCGGCAGTAAGCATGTGCCTAGCAGCAGCCGTGTTCATGACTGAAGCTATCCTGAAACCGAACACGAGGTTGTGTAAGAGCGCACGTAAACGATCCTGCCCACTTGGGAGGTTTGCAATCATGCTGTCTTGCTTTCTTGTGTGGGAGTGGCTTTGTGAGTTCGCCGCACAGGCATAGGAGGGGCCTCAGCATGGATTTGTTGGTTTCTGGCAGGCAGGTCACTGCACACCCGGCATCCACTTGTTGAAGAAATTCCTACAGCCGGCAGGCTATTCAGACTTGCATTTCACGTCACTCAAACGATCGTAGGTTCAGGTCATCTGGCTTGCCCGCCCATTCTGTTACTACAACAAGACTAAATTTCACGAAATGGAGCAACATGTTCAGAATTAATGCTGAGGGTGTGCCACCGCTCAGTCCTTCGATTTTGGGTTTTCAGACCGCATCGACCGCCAACCCAAGGCTTCTAGGCTGAATACTGCACCTTAGCCCAAGCGGTCGCTGGCCAATGGACATCCCGAAGCCCGATGTGAGGTTTTGCAGACCGGGAGCACGCCAACCCAGGTTTACAAATGGACAGAGGCCTCAAAAACAGTGCCTCTTCATAGAAGCGCTAAGAAACAGACGTGAACATGACAAGTTTGAGTGCTCGTTGTACCGACTTTACATTTGAGTTGAAGGCGAGATCCGAAGATGGCGGAAACGGTCATGGTCACTAAAACTTCGACCATGTTTCAAAAGCAAGATTAACTGCATACTGCATACTGGCTTCAGGCAAGATGCCCTGCATCAAAGAGGACTTCCTTTGATTCTGGATGGAACACGGGTTTGCCCAGCACGCGCCCGCGTATCCGGTCTTTAAAGGAAGCCACCGAATCGCGCATTCCTTTCAGTTCCATTGGAATGGAATCCTCGGTGCCGCAGTCCTCTGCACGCACCTGGGCAACAGCTTCTTGCGAGAGCGTTAGCTGACGATGCCAGTACCCTGGTAAGCCAATGGCAACAACTGGTGAGCCAGTGAAATCCAACCGTCGGTATAGATATCCGGAATTGGCCGTTCTCAAGGCAGTGTCGATGACTCCCTGGATCTCCGTCCGCTCAGGTTCAAACCGACATAGAAGGTTCTACAGCGTGCCTTTCGAGCGCCATGGCCTGTCAATTGCAAGCACTCGGTCTACAGCCACGATGAAAAGCTCTCGCCTGAGATCAGCATGTCAGTGACGGTCATCCCTTCACGCAGGCAGTGCTGGATCGGCACCTCAGCTGGGTGCTTCCGCTTGCACTTCCACCGTGATGCGCCTTCAGAAGCCGATGGTCATGCAATAAGATGAAGGGTGACTTCCTCTGTCGGAGCGGTCCCTAAATGGCACCGTGTTGACTCCAAGACCACATCTGGCTCCACGGAACCGAGAAACGGAAGAACGAGCTGAAATTCGCAGTGCATCTGTTCGGCAGAATCCTTGAGGATCCTGAAAGCCTTTGCGAGTGTGTTGTGGCACTTTGTGGCTTGCGATTTCGTGGTACTTTGAAGTGGGGTGATTGCTGGACTAGGACGCCATCGCCACAGCTGGTCCTGGAGCGGATAGAGTCTTAGATGTGACAGTGCTCGAAATGACGGCAGGCGCTGATATCGGCTTCGCGAATCCAATTGACGACCCACGGGCACGAAAGCGAACTCACCAATTTCTTGCTTTTTTCGTGGCTGCAGACAGGACCTGAACTTCTTGACGGCGCTGGCTTCTGCGGTGTCAAACTCTACCAGCCGCCTAGCTTTTAGAGGCTCGCAGGGCGCTTCGCCACAGGCCCCATCTTGCTGGGACTGCAGCCGCACGTGTCAGGTTGTTCGAAACAACAAGGCTCTGACTGAAATCCAGTCATTAGCAGCCCATACCAAATGCATCATGGGGCATTGTGGCCATGAAGATCTCGCTGCATTGACAGCTAACATGGAACAAAGACCCCCCAATTTCAATCGTTGTCATGCGCAGGAAAGCACGTGTCTAATTTAGGCAAGGCACATCAATCAACTGGCCTGCCATTTCAGGGATCCATGACAGATGCAGATGCCACAGCCGAAACTGTTCCAACCAGGACATGGGATCAGCTCTTGTCTCTCTCGCTCTGTCTCTTTGCTTTGCTTTGCTTTGGGGATGGGACGTTGGCAGACCCAACGCCCCGCGCTGTCTCTCTCGCTCTCTCTCTTTCTCTCTCGCTCTCCCTCTCCCTTTCCCTTTCGCCATCTTGTGCGCCCCTGCCTGTTGCGGGTGCCAATTTTCCTCTCCCTTTCCGTCTCTCCGCCGTCCTTATCTTTCTCCCTCTCTGTCTTCTCCCGGGCATGGGAAGCGTCTTAAGCTTCCCGGGCGGAAGGCCTGCAAGGGCGAGTTTGGTAGGAAAGCTGTGAAACCAGTTCCCGAATCCCCGGCGCTTTACACACGCATATTTTGGACATACTATATTTTCGGATTCGCCAACACACGCAGGAAAGTGAAAACACATGTAGATCCCTCGAAGTTGCAGTGATGACAGAATGAGGCCTGAGAGAACCCCCAGAATCGCACAGAACATGAATCATATCACTATAAGTCGGAGACTGCATCACCCTCACACTCAGCGGCCTCTGGCAGAACTGTTTTTTCTTGCTTGCTTGCTTGCAGAACTGTTTTTCTCGCTCTCTCTCTCTCTCTCTTTCTTCTTTCTTTCGCCAGGGTTATGGGCACAGGAGTTGCCCCCCCCCCTCTCTCTCTCTCTCTCTCTCTCTCTCTCTTCTTCTAAGGGGAAGAGGAAGACGAGAACCCACCCCCGCGCTCAAGGAGCCCCCCATGTGGTATGGAAGAGCACTCAAGGAAATGCAGCTACGGTAAACTCGCCGACTACGCTCCACCAGGACAATCATCACATTGAAGCGAAAATACACTTTCCATTCATACTAAACTACGAGGTAATACCCGTGACTTGTCCTGCGGCGAATGCCCTCCCCTGGTTTCCACACTTTACCTGAGCTTAAGCCAGCACTATAAAGCATCACAAGACAATAACCAACTACGAGGACCAACGCCCCGATTACTAGGCAAAGGTGCGAGTTCAGACGTCGAGGAGACAGTCAAAGTATCCAACAGCTGGCCACTAGCGGAATCTCAGAGAAAGTGGCTCGTCACTCCTACAGCCGCAACTCAGTTGTAATTCTTCAATGGTGCTTGCTGTACGAAGTCACGACCCCTCGCCCATTGCAGCGTGTAGCCAGCGACGACGGTGTGCTGCAGGTGGTCCCAGGTCGGGCTCCCTCTTCAGCTTCTTGTGCTGGGGTCCTCCCCTTATTACATGTCCTCTTTCACGAGCCCAATCCAATGCAGTTTGCAGTGGCCAAAGCCCCTAGCTGGTGCCCTAGCAAGGTTGTCCAGAAAGTTCCGGGCATATTCAATGACGTCATGGTCACGCTCCGTACTGTGAGGCCCGCTGTGCTGCTGCTCGCAGCCAAGCGGCCCAGTCTTGTGATCAGACTGCCGTGCTTGTGGGTGCTCCCGCCAAACTTCAGGTGATGATGCGTGGGCAACGGCTTCGTCGTCAAAATCGCAGAGCACCTGCTCCGGTTTTCATCTGCCCTTTCTGTTGTCAGGAAGGAGCGGATCTGCAGCATGTCGTCTGGTCATGCTCTCAGCGTCGCAGGGAGGACGGTAGTGGGCCTCCTCCTAGTCCTGGCTGCCCGCTTCAGAAGCGTTTACGTTGGTTGGCCCAGAAAGAAGCCTCCCGATCGCTACGGTCTCCAGGTTTTGTCCTGGCAGGTGTTTTGCAGGAGGCGTATCCTGCAAGAAAGATGGCGCTAGTTGTGCCTCGTCTCACGCTCTGTGCTTGTTTTTTAAGGCCCTGCTTGACTGGTCTTTTCTCATTGGTCGGTTTAGGGCTTCGGTTATGGTTGCCCCTTAGTGCCTCCTGTTTCGTCTGGCGTTGCCCCAAATGTTTCGGGTTCGCAATCTGCAGTTGTTTCGTTGCTCGGATTTAGGCCCAGTTAGTGCTTGCCTCTCCTCACAGCAGCTTCAGTTGCTGTTGACAAGTTCTTGAGCTTGTAATTGCAAGACCACTGAAGTGGTGTCACTGCTGCCAGCAGTCTTCTGCTGCACCAACTGGCGACTGACCCCCTCAAACTCTGCAGTTTGACGGAGTGGGTGCCTTCGTCAGCTTGTTCTTTCAATGCTGCAATGGAGGCTAATGTGCCGTGTCCAGCAGCACGTGGCTGCCCCAACGACGGCGGAAATCGTTCCCGCCACTCCAAATGCATCGGCGGGCATGAAACTATGTTCTTCCGGCGAGTTCAGGTGCAGATGTGCTTGAGCTTGTGCAGTTGGTCACGGGGTTTGCGTACCTCGAAAGATCGAAGCCTCGATGTAGCAGTTGCTCAAGCATCGCATGCATTGGGTTGTGGTGGTGGAGGTAGACGCCATAGGCATCGGACATTCGGGCGCAGTGCGGTGCGTCAGCTCGGTTCTGTCTTCGGGTGCTCTGTCTTCGCTGGGCCAATTCTTTTCGGAGGGGGCCTGTCTCTCTCGCTCTCAATGCGCCCAATCAAATCCAAGCCACCTTTGGCATCTGCCATGAGTCCACGCATAGCCACCAACTGTCGAACCTGCGAAATGTTTCCTCGCGCACCACTAGTCGACATCATGTAGACCTCACCCAGGGCCCGGTGACAAGGTCGCTCTTTCTCGATTGGCCACTGCTCAACGAAGCTGGGCCATGGGCTGGATTATTGGGATCGTTTTCCTAGCGCGGCCGACTTACCACATCATGCCCCGAGCTGACGCAATTCGAAGGATCCTTGAAGTTGGACACCGCTTCGTTCTTCACTTGCTCGCTCGTTCTCGTCCATTCTTCTGTGACGTTCAAGAACTTCTCAACGACCGTCATCTCCCCATTCCGATATTTCGCCTGCAGAACGTGAACTCTTGCACAGCGAGGATCGATCAAGCGACTTCTGCTTGCCTCCGCCTGCAGCTGTCGCTGCTGCGAGCCATCGCAAAGCGCAGCTTTTTCGGCTGGGACGCTCATATCCTGGGCTCTGCTTTTCCCTGCTCCGTCTCCCGGCTCTGCAGCAATCCACGAGTCTGAGAGCTGTCCAAGCGGCGTCGACGCCTAGTGAGATGCCGGCTCGTGTCGCCTGGTAGCGTCAAAGGCTGCTACGCAGCGCGCGCATGCGACGCATGCAAAGACGCGGGATTCAAGGCCCGTGCCCAGGAAAAACCGAGCGTCTTCATGTTGTCGAGCATGTCCTTGGTCTCCTGTCGTCCTGTGGGTAAACTGCAGGCATGTCAAAAAGCCGTTTCGAGAGCCACCATGCACCTCGCTGCGCCAACGTCCAGCTGATCACCCGCTTCAACTCCTGCGACATGCACCATCTTCCGACACACTTTGCACAAGAGCACGACAGAGGCAATCTGGGATGCAGTCCCTTTTCCCCAAAGTTGACTGCAGCAAGTCTGGAAGAGCCGCCCTTCGCAATCCTCACCACGGGCAATGGCAACAGCATCAGCAGTCAGGCCTAAACGTTTGAGTTTCAGAGCCTCGTCTCTTGGCTGAGCGAGCTATCAACCCGCACCCGCCAAGCGCAGCTCCTTTGTGACTGTGCCGGAACGAGGCACAGCGTCGCAGAGAAGGAGACGAGTGTAGCCAGTCAAATCAGCTCCCCTCCCAACCCAACATGCTTCCGATCGAATCCAGGACTATACTGTTCACATTCGGACAGCGACTCGCAAGAGCTCTAGTTGGGCCTGTACGATCCCTGTCGCCGGTCCTCCAAGCACCCAAGGCTCGTGCATGGAAGCTTCGACATGCGGGCCTCCTCGGCCTCCTTGCTGGCAAGACAAAGAAGTGACGCGCGCGCGCGAAGATTCCAAGCGGAGTGAAAACATCTTCACAGCTCCTGCGATGGCGTCTGGTCTGATTCGGCTCAAGCGATGGTCTGGACCGGGTGCCCTAACCTGGGTCGAGGCGCGCCACAGTAGCAGAGATCAGCATGCCAGATCGCAGACATCAGCTTGTCAGCTTGGCCAGGAGCTTGCGCGAAGGAGAAAGGACGCGGAGGGCACGTGGAAGAGCATGCTGACCCTGACCCTGCTTTCCTTGTTTCAGCTCATGGCTCCCGTCATCCATGCACACCGGAGAACCTGGGCCCTCAGAATCCAAGGCTCACTGCAGATGGAGCTGGCAGAGCCATGTATGCGTCACAGGAGCATGCAGGTCGGAATGTTGACAGAGTTCTCACGTTCGGGTGAATTTAGGGGTGCATCGGCCGCAACGAACCATTGTTTGAATTGTACAGATTCTACAATGGACAGATTGCCTTCGATAAATTTCTTGATGCAGAACTCGAGCAAAAAAGTGTCCCTCGACATGCTTCTTGCTGTCCTCCAGCAGGTGTCAGTACATGCCCCAGCCAGCCACCGACACATCGAGTTCTGAGGGAACTGCGAGTCGTCCATCCCTCGGAGCGTCCCCTGGTCTAGGCTGCAGGAGAAGACACGCACTGTTTACATTCGGCTGCTGGACAGCATGCGGATACTGCTCCACCTCCGGCAAATGTCCCGAGATCTCCTTCATGAATGTTTCGCGCACTTGTGGACCTGAAAGGGGAGAAGACAAGGAGTCAAAGTCACTGAATGTACCCGAGGAAGTGCTTAAAAAAAAAACCAGCCTCCTTTGTCGACTGCCTGCGTAAGCTCTTAATCTTTTCAACTTTTGGCACGAACAAGGTAATGCAAGAGCCAGGAACACTGGCACCTGAAGGACGAGCTCGTTCGCTCTCTTCTGAGCAGCTTCATCACCAGTTGAACGGCCTTCGGCTGGCTACTGACACGTCAGGGTGACAGTTTCCCCGCACTGGGCTCCTCGCTGATCATGGTGAGCCGGTAGGCTTCTTGAAGCTCCGGCCTCTGCTGCGGCAGATGCTCTGCGAGCGCGATTGCGGCACATCACTCTTGGCGGGAGCACGGCATGTTGCGGAGCGCGACCTCAGGTGGCGGAAGCTTGCGGGAAGGGCTTGTGGAGGGCAGGGTGCACAGGGCGAAGGAACCTCGGCTGCAGCCAGGATGCTGCAAAGTCTTCCGCCCCGTCAGTTGAAGCCTGAAGCTGACTCGCAACAGCCTTCCGATTTCCAGTAACACCGATGAAGTCGGTGTGAATGGTTTTGCCTCGTCGACGCATCGCTCCTCAAGCGGGAGCCCGGAAGCACACATGAGATGTTTTTCACACTGTCACTGGCTACAGGTTCGTCTCCACTGCCTGGTCTTGGTTTTCGACTCCATTGAAGCCTGGGACGATGGTCTGTGCCACTCTCTGAAATCAGAGCTGAGCTGAGGGTTTGGACGCGAGTAGTCCAAATTGTAGTTGCTCCTGCAGAAAGCGCAGACCAAAGCAAACCAGCTCACACGGGCATCGGTGATGATCCTCTTTCCCGGTCCACGGGGCATGGCGACAACAAGTAGCAGCTGATTGTTGAAACGATGTGCTTCAATTGATGTCTTGATCTGCTTGCGACATGGGGCATTCATAGGGATGCGTCGATGCCTACACATGCTTTTCGGCTTCTACTGCTTTGTCCAAGATGTTGGGAGTCGTGCTAGACTGCGTGGCAACTGAAGCATCTTGACTGCATGCCACTTCCAACATGACCATATTAGCGTAGGTTGTGAAAAGCTTCTTTGGCTGAACTCGAGATTTCCTGCAGCTTGCAATGCTCAGACCTGTGATCATTCAGCCAGGCACTACGTGGTAGCAGTAAGAACAACACTAAGGTAGAGTATCAGCAAAGCATTGGCAAAGCACTAACAAGCAGAACAGGTGTTTTTCTCTCATCTCGCCCCGAAGCAGGAGCTTTGGCTGCACGACAGGCATTGCCTTCGAGGATCGTCTCACGTGCCATGAGGCAGACAGAGGCAGACTGCACCCACACAAGAGCCTTGTGTGCACAGTCGTGGGGAAAGATCAGGAGCCTTCCACGAACGGGGCTCACCTTAGGTTTCATAGCGTCCATCGGCTTACGTGGTGCATGTGTTCACCTGAGGCTCTTGCTTCGGCGAGAGGGCCACCGGACAGACTCTCCAGCAAGACTGTTTCGCCACCTCCCTCCTCCGCAGCCCCCTCAAGGTACAAAATGAAGGTATGGCTCGTCCGCTGCCCGGTGTGCCAATCACGCCTGAACAGAGAAAGTCTGAAGCTCGCGCATCCAGCAAGAAGCTCAGCTTACCTTTCCTTGCATCCGACACACTGTCATGTCTCGAGCCCTGCATGAGTCATAGCTGAAACACCGGAACCAAGTTGATGGCACGTCAGATACCGTACAAAGAGACCAGCTACGCCACGAACATCAGACGACCGGGTTGTGCACGTTCAGCGACATTAGGATACTGGCTCCCGTCTTCATCAGCGAGCTCAACACGCTGGCCCCATAATGCGTTGCGGCGCTTGCTTTGAGCTTGGAAGCGAGAGCGAGAGCAGAAGAGGCCCCTGCCTCGAAAGATCCGTGTGTGGTGGCAAGGAGCCCCCGGCTCGAGCATAGTGCAGGAAGCGCATCTGTGGTACCGCCTCTAAACCAGCGCACTCCGCTGCTGCCGCAAGCTGCGCTGTCACGAGGCCATCTGCGTCGAAGTAGTAGCTTCTTTGCGGCGCAGAGTCTTGACGGCTTCGGTCCACTCCACGGCCTCGAGCCTTTGAACGGGAGCACCTCAGGCTCTGATCCACACAAAGTCCATGCTGGCTGACCAGGTGCTCTGGGTGGGTGACGCCATTTTCTTTTGCTGGGATTCCTTGCGAAGGTCACAGTGCCGGAATGTCATGGGATGTCCTTCCATTTTGCACACTTGTAGCTTTGCGTCCTCAGCTAGAGGTTCATCGGGTGCATCGCCCTCAGAGCAGGGAGCACAGGGAGCACAGGGAGCACAGGGAGCACAG